GGCAAGATCGTCGACCCGAACACTGGCAAGCCAGTCGGTGAGCTTATCGAAGGCGATCCAAAGAAGATCTCCCGCATGGGAGCTCAATTGGACGACAAGGGCCAGTTCTGGGACAATCGTGGCAACGTTATCGGCAAGGCAAAGACCCTTCCTGTTGAGGATTACGAGGGCGAGCCGCCCTTCGCTGGCCTGGAAGGTCTCCATGTCGTTGAGGATGGCTGGGTCGAAGACGAGAATGGCAAGCGAGTCGGCAAGGTCGTTAAAGGAGACCCGAAGAAGCTTCTTGGACGTGCGGTCGACGAAGATGGTGATATCACTGACAAGAACGGTAATGTGATCGCACAGGCTGAGTACTACGAAACCCCCGACGAGCCGGAGGCTGAGAAACCTGATCTTTCTCAGCTGAATGGCTTGAAGCCTAACAAGCTGGGATTTGTTATTGGTCCAAACGGTGTGCCCATTGCCCGTGTGGTAGAGGGGAATCCAAAAGAGCTGGCCGGTAAAGAGATTGATGATGGCCAGATCTGGGATGGCCGCAAGCCCATTGGACGCGTGGAGCTCATCCCCGAAGAAGAGCGTGAAAAGAAGCCCGAAGGCGTGTTTGCCGGCCTTGACAACCTTGTCGTCAATAAGGAAGGCTTCGTCGAGGATGATGAAGGCAACATTGTCGGCAAAGTGACCGAGGGCGATCCCAAGAAGCTCCGCGGCCGCGCCGTCGATGAAGACGGAGATATCATCGACAAGTTCGGCAACGTCAAAGGACACGCAGACCCTTACGAGCCGGAAGAGGAAGAGGAAGAGAAGCCGGATCTGTCTGTTTTGGAGGGAAAGACGGTCAACAAGGCTGGCAACGTCGTCGACGCGCAGGGCAATATCTTCGGACGTATCGTTTCCGGAGATGGTAAGCGCCTTGCTGGCAGAAAGGTGGACGGCCAGGGTCAAATCTGGGGTGATAATGGAAAAGTCATCGGCAGAGCAGAGCTAGTTCCGGGTGCGGAGCAGGAGAAGCCCGAAGGAAAATTCTACGGGTTCGACAATGCGGAAGTTGGCAAAGACGGTGTCGTCATGGCTGGCGGCCGCATCATCGGTCGTGTCATTGAAGGCGATGCCAAACGACTCCTTGGTCGTAAGGTCGACGAAGATGGAGACATCCTCGACAAGAATGGTAACACCATCGGAAAGGCTGAACGCTGGGAGCCAGAAGAGAAGAAGCGTGATGTCAACGCCATGTCCGGCCGAAAGGTCAACAAAGAGGGCGAGGTCCGCGACGCTGACGGTAACCTCATTGGTAAATTGACATCGGGCAATCTGCCAACCCTCGTCGGGAAGGTGATCGACGACAACGGCTATGTTGTCGACAATGATGGAAACAAGCTGGGCGAGTGTACCTTGCTCGAGAACCTGCCTGAGGAGAAGGAAGAGGAACCGGAAGTGGAACCGGAAGCAGGACCAACCGAGGAGGAGGTGGAGGCCCAGAAGAAGGCCGACCAAGACAGGGATCTGGCGAAGAAGATGGCTGGTATCATCGGACAGACTCTTGACCGTCTTCAGCCTACCTGCAAGAGAATCGCCGAGGTAAGTTGATAATCAACCTGTACAGATCTTAGTCCAAAACAGTTTGCTAACTGGCCTGTTACAGCTGCTCGAGAGAGCCGATCGCACACCACGCGACGAACTGGACGAAGAGAAGCTAGTCAAGGAAGTCAGACCTCTGATCGAAGAGGGCGGCCAGGTCCTTCAGGAATGCAACGGAGCCATCCGTGCTCTAGATCCTGATGGCTCGATTGCTTCGACTGCCAAGGCTCGCGCTGCATCACACGAAGCAACTCCTGAGGAGTACGCTCTCGCCGAGAAGATCAAGGAGCTGAGCGAGCTTGTGATGAACACGATCGAGAACGGCCGCAAGAGGATCGCAGACATGCCTCATGCAAAGAAGAAGCTCAACCCTCTGTGGGCCCTGCTCAGCGAGCCTCTCTTCCAGATCATCGCGGCTGTTGGTCTGCTTCTTAGCGGTGTGTTGGGCCTTGTAGGTCGTCTGCTCGACACTCTTGGATTGGGTCCTCTTCTGAACGGTCTGCTGGGAGGACTGGGTCTCGATAAACTCCTCGGTGGCTTGGGACTGTCTTCTCTAACGGATTCTTTGGGATTGACTGGAAAAAAGAAGGACTAAGGGAACTTGAATTGCTTTGCTATTGAGCAGCTGGATGTTAAATTTGAGCACTGTACTGATTTCTGCCATTGAGATTGATCACGAGGTTTGTATCCCTTCATGGCTTCTTCAGCTTTTCTGCTTCTGCACAATGTATTTTAATTGGCCCTCTAATCTGGTGTCATTCTGTAGTTATGAATGTATAGTGAACAAGTGAATATTTCTATCTATATTACCATTATGCATCTATGTATAACTCATGAGTCAAATGTATCCACACACCACCGGCTCCCAAGCCTCACGGTACGACAATTATGTGCGTCGCGCAGGCCATAACCAAACTCGTAAGAAGTCACTGGTCTTGGAGTTGAGGATATATCCCCAAGCGGGGAAACAAAATATAATTACAACAGAATCGTCATGGAATCCAACGCTCATAGACAGGCCCTTAGTGTCATAAGCAAGGGCCTGAATCCAAAGCCGATCAATGATGGGGAGTGCCCTGCTTGGCGCTCCATAAGATGAAGGTAATAATATTGCTCGTCATCAACCAAAGAATGACATGACAGCGGGATCAGTGGTGCTTGAGCCCACCCTTGAGAGGATCCGTAGCATCGGGGACCTCTAAAGCGCTCTCACCGAAATTGCGATAAGCCTGTTCCCTGGCCGTCGAGCGATCTTTTTTGATGGTCAGGCAGTTAATACCCAGGAAAGTCGTAATCCGGTTGATCACCAAGAACGCCCAATACATGTAGGCGACAAAAGCAAACAATAGATAGGCCCTCAGGTACAGAAGCTCTACCCATGCACTCACCGCAGGGAGGCCGAAGAGGGGCAGATTCGCAAGAACCGCACCGCCAATAAGCGGCGTGAGCTGGACAGTCCAGTACGGAAACGGTTGCCTGAGCAGATGAGCGAGTATGATCTTGGTGGTCATCCGTCCGAAGACAAACGAGATTGTCCAACAATACAGGACCAGCCGATTTTGAGCCAGCAGAGTCGAGTAAGGAGAGAAGAGCCAAGCAATGTTGCAAACGGTAAAGACAATCATTGGAACCCACTCCTTGAAGATGGTTGACACTGGAAGGCCTTGCTTTTTGCGAGCTTCGATGACGTTGAAGACGCATCCCGGCAGATGTCCGACAAAGAACGATAGAAGCAGGAATGGAACCCAAACGTCCTTAACCGAATAAGTCCCAAATATCTGGGGATAATTTAGGAATTCAACGATCGGCCGACTCCATATCTGAGGACCATAGTATCCCGAAGCAATCATAATTCCGATCGCGACCAGCAAGCCTTCGGTAGGTCCATTGATGTAGCCCAGGTAGAGAGTATGTGTATGGTAAGTCTCCCAGGTCGAAAAGTACATCGCGAGACAGGGAACAAGAGCGGTGTAGGCTCCTAATTGGGAAGAGCCAAAACCCATTGCTGCTGTCTCCAGCAGACTAGCCAGGGTGCAGTTGAGCGAGTCAATTCCATGGCTGGAGGTGGTTTAGTGACAATCCATACAGCCTCGGAGTGGTCACCTACTCAAATAGCTCACCCAGTCCACTCGACGTCCCGGTCCTCCGCGCTTGCTTGCCATCAACATTATCCAAGGTAGAATACCTATTCGATCAGTCACTTGCACGAACAGCATATCGCGCGTCTCGTTAACTTACATCCACATGCCAAGAGCGAAACTATAATACAACCAGGAAGGACCCTTGGACAGAGTGTCAGTGACCCATGCGTAGATTTCTTCATGCTTGAGCGATGCGTACCGGTCCGATGAGATCTGGCATATACACCTCTATGAGCATCACATTTCCTACTATGAAAAGGAAACCCAATAGCGTGACCATGTTGGGAGCAATCCATAGCGGGAGAACTTCGACAAATGCATTCCACTAGTGTGACAATCTTTCCGTCAGATTGAGAGCGTACGGTATATGGGGAGAAGCAGTGGGCGTAATACGTAATGCTTCAGGATATAGTTCGAGATGTAAGACTTATCCACGCTCTGGTACTTGTAACTTTTCAGGGGCATCAAAATTTCATCCGTAAGCGTGTCTTGAGTCGCTATATGACGAGAAAAATGAAGTGATTAGTTTAGATAGTCTATGCGATGAATAGATATCTGAACGGACCTTTAACCCTCCTGAAAATTGCGCTCATCTTGATCTCAGTTGTATGCTGTGAACTCGTCCCAAAGAAAATAAATAACGTCGTCTCAATTTGTTGCGCCCAGTTTCATAGCGTCGTAGGTGAGGCGGTGGAACAATCAAGACTCGCCGACAACTTCATAGAACGAGCGTCGTAGATTTGGAGAGTCTCCAATTTCAGTGTGAGTGCTTGATCCGAAGCTCGTCAAATCCTACAGAGGCAGTTAAAGCAAAAAGACGAGGTCAGATTTCTCTCGGAAGAATAATACTGAGGATCGGACTCTCGGAGGTAACAGCAGATCACAATCACGTGTTGCCAGTGGAAGCTCCGCATCTTTTGACGCGACATGACAAGGAAGTGAGGTGAAGTAGATCAGCTCGAAGGAACACTTCTTGGCTGTTCCACTTTTCCCCTGCCTTTGCTTCATTTATCCTATCTCCAAATATAGCTTGAGACTGAGAGCGAAATTTCCCACGAGTCTATTTCGATTACGTCTTCTTACCGTGCCAGCTTCGCTCCTGCTCACTTCCACTTTTCCCCGCCGTTGACGAAGCTTTGTTCCATTGACAATTTTTCTGACCTCATCTTTTGAACGTCTCACAAGGAAGTATTACGAGAGGAATGGCTGCTCATTGAGCTGGACATGACGGTGGATGGTCTGCGTGGCGCTCGCGGCGCAGTGCACGATTGAGTATCTTGCGCGATGCCAGGCGTCGTCGATATGCCCGGCGGGCCTCTATGGCCAGGATTGGGATTCACTGTCGCGCACCAGAAAGTTGAACTGGAGATAGATTTTGCCACCAGAAGCCTCAAGGGAAAGACAGAAATCACGATCCATCCGCATCACAAGGACCTTCGAATCATTCGATTGAACTTCCGACAGGGGGAGCTGAAACGCTTAAATGTCAATGGAAAGGCGCCTACGATCAAATATGCGGATCCCTACGAATCTCTCCAGCTGTACGGTCCTCATTATCATGAACGCCTGTCGACCAAAATCGAGGGTTTGCTCAAGACTTCCCCGGAGCCGGACCTGCTTGTGACCATCCCGAAAAGCGTTCGGATTGAGGAGCTCGATCCTTTCTCACAGGAAGCTCAGGACCAAATGACTTTGCGTGCTAGTGGTGCAGGAGAAGACGCGGATGGGCCCTTGAGTTCTAAACTGGCAGAGACTTCGTTACCTCGCTTTTCGGCGCTCAAGATCTACATCGAGTACACGATTGAGAATATTCGGGATGGGCTACAATTCGTCGGGGTGGACAACGGCGACAGGCGCTATCCGCATGCTTACACAACAAACTCGCTCGGTTACGGCGCTGCAAGTCCTCTGTTCCCTTGTGTTGACGACCCTTTGTCTCGTTGTACCTGGGAAGTCTCCGTCAAATGCCCGTGCTCTTTAGGCGATATCTTCGACCGCAAAAGTCGGGATCCGTCTGGTGCTCATCGTTCAAAGCCGACACCTGGGGGTAGTCGATTCATCTCTCCGGACGACGAGACTCTTGACTTCTCAGTGGTTTGCTCAGGGGATATGACAGATGAGATTGTCGATCCTCGGGATCCTAGCAAGAAAACGGTTTCCTTCGCATGTGTCTCGCCTCTTTCTGCCAAGCAAATCGGCTTCGCCGTCGGCCCCTTTGAGTATATAAACCTTTCCGACTTCCGTGAGAGCGATCAAGATGAGCAGCTTGGCCAGAACGCTATTCCTTTACACGCGTTCTGTCTCCCAGGAAGGGGAGATGAAGTCAGAAACACATGTTTCCCCATGGCGAAGGCTATTGACTTCCTTTCGCTGACTTATGGTTCGTATCCCTTCGCGAGTTACAAAATGTGCTTCGTGGACGACATCCCCGAAAACACACTGCCAACGGCGTGCTTGTCGATATGCAGCAACCATCTCCTCTTTCCTGAGGATATCATTGATCCAATGTATGACTCAACACGAGCTCTTGTCCATGCCTTATCGTGCCAGTGGATCGGTGTCAATATCATTCCCAAGGAACCCACAGACACCTGGGTCACGGTTGGTGTCGCCTGGTATATTACGGATACGTTCTTGAGGAAGCTTTGCGGTAATAACGAATACCGTTTTCGCCTGAAACAGGTGTCCGATCGAGTGTGCGATTTGGATTATGAACGTCCCTCGATCTATGACATGGGAAACATCCTGAACCTCGATCCTTCTGAGATTGAGTTCATCGCGCTCAAAGCGCCCCTCGTCCTTTTCATTCTAGATCGACGCCTCACAAAAGCAAGTGGGAAAGCAACAATGTCTCGCATTATTTCACGCATGTTCCTGAATGCCCGGATGGGGGATATACCCAATGGAGCCATCACCTCTTCCCAATTTCAAAAGATATGCGAACGACTTGGCCACGCGAAGTTGGATACGTTCTTCCAACAATGGGTCTACGGTGCTGGATGTCCTCGATTCCAAGCCACACAAAGATTCAATAAAAAGAAATTGGTGGTGGAGATGATGATTAAGCAAGTTCAAGCTGATCAGCCAAGTGCGCGCGATCTCGACAAAGACACATTTATGCGCGATGTCAAAGAGGAAATTCGAGGAGTCTATGCCGGGAACATTCAGCCAGTGTTCTCAGGTTCTATGACGATCAGGATACACGAAGCTGACGGTACTCCTTATGAGCACATCGTTGAGATCAAAGAAGGGGTCACCAAGTTCGACATTCCTTACAACACCAAGTATAAGAGGCTCAAGCGGAACAAAAGACAAAAAGAGCGTGCAGCTGTGGTATCCGGTGGGGACCCAAATGCGGAAACACAAGAGGATGTGTTACTATACTGCCTTGGCGACGTGCTCCAGACTGAAGAGGAGATGCAGGAGTGGAGACTCGCAGACTGGAGTAAAGAGGACGAGGATCGAATGGGTCAGGAATCATACGAGTGGATTCGCATGGACGCGGACTTCGAATGGATATGCAAGCTTTCGCTTGTGATGCCGGGTTATATGTACCTCTCGCAACTTCAACAAGATCGCGATGTCATAGCGCAATTAGAGGTGAGCGCATGACCTACCCTGATTCTTTTCTTATACTGACAGTGATAGTCCCTGCAATACATGGCAGCTCAGCGAGAACACCCCCTTATCTCAACAATTTTTGTTCGAACCTTAATGGATCGGAGGTACTTTTATGGTATCCGGGAAGCCGCGGCGCGAGCTTTAGTAAAACATGCGAAGGAAGAAATCAACTGGTTAGGACTCTTTCACCTTGAAAGGGCTTTTCAAGAGTTGTTCTGCCTCCCTGGATCTCCCATGACACGCTCGAATGATTTCTCCGACCGGGCGGCATACGTGCTTCAGCTTGCGATTCCAGAAGCTATATCTAAGGTGCGCGATAATGACGGAAAGACACCGTTGAGAGTCAAGCGCTTCTTATATGATAAGCTGAAATTTAATGACAACTCTAACAATGAGGTGAGCAACTCGTTTTCTACAATACGCATATGTCTCCACTTACACTTGAACAGTATTCCGATAACTTCTACGTCGCCACTTTGATGCAGTCGCTATGCCATGCCATGCTCGGCAAAGTTGAATCCCGCGACGTCGATGTCGATGATTTCGACATGGAACGCATGCTTGAGACCCAAGCTGAAGAGCAGCTGGAAAAAGACGCTATTGCGGAATTTGATCGGTACAGGAGAATGGACGAATGGTCTAGTTCGTTTCAAAACGTCTACTCCCGTGCAGCACTGCGCTGTCAAATGCAACTCATGCGTGCCAAGATACTGGACGTGGACGTTATGCAATTTCTACCATATACCCGGGCCGGAACATACGACCTTCTGCGCGCAGATGCCTTTGAATGTCTCGTCGAACTTGATATATTCAGAAGTCCCGAGCTTTTGAAATGGTTCATGTTCACCATGTCGAGCGACTCTTCCCTTTGGCTTAGGCGACGACTTCATGATCTGTTCGGCAAGGCCTTGGCGCCAGTTGCCTTTGGTCGTGAACCGGAAAATGAGCCCTCCGCTAATGTCGATAGCTTGATAATCGAGCAAGAATCTTCAACCAAGGTTCGTCAGGCGGATCTTGCGAGGAAACAAACCGTCACTGGAGCCATAGAGGCGCTCAAAGGGGAAATTTCTGGTGATCAGAATTTCAAGGAATGTCTCTGGGCAGCATGCAACTCTCCCGGGATTGGCATTCTCGAGCTTTCCGTATTTGCTGATCTGTGCAAAGCCCTGTATGACTCGGTCACGTCAGTGATGGTGAAGTTGAAGTATCCGCGGTATTGGCAAGTAAAGCATCTTGGAAAGGTAATCTCATTCAGATCTTGCAATTCCACTCTGTATACTAATAGTCACAGGGCCGCATGCATTTCTCACGGTCCAGCCGAATCCGAACCACTCTCGCACCCTCAAAAGATCCCTCGACAAGCGGGAAGCGCAAACGCGACGAGAACGTGATGCCTCCACCTGGGCCCCGTATCACATTCAAGCAATCGAAACTGGGTTCAAGCACTCCCTCAGCAACTCCTCACCCAACCTCGCAACCCAATCCGAAGTTGCATATTCCAAAACTTTCCGCTTCACCGGCACCTCAGCCGCCGAAGACGCCCGCTGCTCCGTCCACACCGTCGACACCCAGTGGTGGCGGCGGTGGGCTCAAGCTGAAACTCAAATTCGGCCAGAAGCCGAAATAAGCTGCTTACCCCCTGTGGTATTATATCAAAACTTCACCTTTGTACTTTATTACATCGCATTTATGCAAAATTTGGAGGGGAATGGTTGAACAAGCGTCACGGCGCATGGCTGGGAGATCTGTTTCAAACGATTTATACATGTTGACTTTTATTGTCTTCTACAACAGAGCTGCATGCTCACTTGCATTGGGGTTCATCGGGTTCCTTGTTTGATGCGGTTTCCTCGGTCTTATTCTCAGTGCCTCATGAATGACGATATCTTGACAACAGTCATGTCTGTAGTCCCAGCGCGACTTCTCTGTAGAATCCATCTGGTAAGACTCAAGCCCAGCCACGCGGAGATCAGGTGTTCTATTTCCCGTAGAGCGAACATGTAAAGAAACCAAAAATGCTTTCGATCGTTTCGTATGAGCAACCAACCCATGAACTCCTAATTGCATTAAATCAATCCCACAATGACGATGTAAATTCAATCCGTGCGCATCATCCAGCCCTCAAGAAGGCGCAGTTTCTATTTCTCGGATATCCGTTCTAGAGCCTCAAGCATAACGACCGAGTTGCCGCGAATGACCTAGTCACACCACATTAGCCTTCGCTCATTAAAAGCCTCCAATTTGAGCCACATACCACCATGCCGATAGCGACTTTCTCTCCTCCCTGCTTCTCCTCGAAAGCCTCGTCGAGAACGATGTTCATGAATACCTGCGATGAAAACGCCTTGTTAGTCATAGAAACACCTCCCATAATCCATATTCCCCGTCGCAAAAGTGGTCTCTCCAACAAGCCAACGTGGGTAAGCCGTAACGTACATCGTAGCCTCGCAGGATGCCAATGACTTTGCGGTTGCCGTTCAATTGGCAGAACACCCGCTTTTCCATATACTAGCGAACCAAGAATGTCAGTTCCAGAAAATGTCAAGCAAGATTAACAGGCGTGGAGCAAGGCATACCTTCTTCAATTCGGGCTGAGCTTGAGGCATCTTGGCTAGCTCGTTCTGAATAAATCTCCTGATGTGGTGTCTCAATTTCTGGCGCGTTGCGGACTTTGGAGCTGGCAGCGGGAGAAGCTCTCGGAGAAATAATGTTCCTGCATGCTCCAAAAAGATGCCCCAGTTCCTGTGACGCAAAGGGCAGAATTGCCGAATCTTCTCCCATTAGCTTACTTTCTTTTGATTGAAAAGCTTCTACGCCTTATTTAGCATGAGCTCCGCTTTCACAAATCGGAGAAAGCCTCGCAAGGTCGGCGGGGATGATGAGGAAAATGACAGCGGCGAACAAGGTCTGTATCGACTCTCCTTCGCAGATGACTTTCGATCTAAAACTGAGGCTTGGACTGACATATACCAGACCATGGGCCTGTAGTGAAGAGGCCGAATCCCCTGAAATCGAAACAAAAGTCGAAACTTCGGTTATCCTTCGGGCCTGGCGAGACATCCATGACAGATGATGGCGGACAGGAAAGCGAAGTCATCCTGCCGAAACGGCATGGGCTAGGGAGGCGAGCGTTGGAAAAGAGCGCGCTTCAAAAGGCTGGGAAACCACCCGGTCTAGGAGATCAGCTTCCTATTAGAATACCAGAACAAGAACGGCCCAGCTACAGTGAGGATTATCTAAAAGAGCTCCGGGATTCCACACCGTCGACGCCTAAGACGGCTACGGATGACGAGAAGGATAAGACAATCGATGTCGCTGCGAAGTTTGGTGAGGTGATGAAAGTATCTGCGCCTTCGGCCATCCCGAGCGAAGCGGAGATCAGGGAAAAGAAAGCCCGCAGAGCCCGCTTAGCCAAGGAACAGGCCTACGGCACTGAAGAGCAGGATTTCATCTCTCTGGAGGACAACATGAGCGACGAGGAATTGGGTCTGACAAAGATCGAAAAGGAGGACACGCGCGATACCAGGCTCGTCCGCGACGACGAAGATTTTGCCGAGGGATTTGACGAATATGTGGAGGACGGTCGAATCTCATTGGGAAAGAAGGCAGAGCGCGAGCAGAAAATGAAGCAGCGTGAACAGATGCGGGAACTCATCGAAGACGCTGAAGGCATTTCTGATGAGGATGATTCGGACCTAGAAGAGAAGGCGGCCTATGAAGCCGCACAGACAAGGGCTGCAATCGGCAACGGCGGCAGAGACCATATTGACAGACCGAGAACTCCGCCTAAGATAACTTCACTACCTCGTCTATCGACAAGTCTAGAACGATTGCGCACGATGTTGGCCGTCTTGGAAAAATCAAGAACGCAGATGATCAACAGAATGGAAGACCTGAGGAAGGAGAAGGCTGATATAGCTGTTCGAGAGGTTGAAATCCAAGCTCTCATCAAAGAAGCCGGTGATAACTATGAGAGACTGAAACAAGAAGCCGGCCTGACACCTGGTTCCGAGGAGGATCTGTCAACCGCTACCGATATCAAGAACTCTCGCGGACTCGAAAGCTTTGGCGCTTCTGTGGCTGGCTCGGCGGGCGACTCTGGGAGCGAGTCGTGATCCCTAACATTCTTTCCTACTGAAATATTCCCTTTCGCTCTTTCCCGCCAACAGCTCATTGAAACTGCAGATGAACTCAAGCTTCTGTCTTGAAGCTCGTGTATAGTATTTACTCAGATCGGATCTGGTCAGATTTATGATACCCATGAAATTTTAGTCGACATTTTCTTATAATGACACGGCCGCCATTTTTCTCTATTTTTCGTCAACCGCTGCGTAAATCCAAGCCTATCAAGCAAGACGTGCTGTGAGTGAACTCGCCGCCAGACGTACTGTCAACATGGAGCGATGCTTATATCAATCTAAAGGCAGCACCGAGGCTTAAGTCTTATTGCGACGCCTATCGACGAAAAGGATGGCGAGTCTCCGCATTTTTGCCGCCATTCCGATGCCACCCCCATAGAACTCTTCTTCGATTTGTTTTTCGTTGCAAACTTGTCTTCATTTACCGCGACGCACGAAATCAACAATGTCGAAGGTATGTTGGGTTTAGATTAAGTCTGGTTAGGTCGAATTAACACTGGAATCCAGGTCTTGGAGCATATATAGGCTTCCTAGGGGTCATTTGGTTCACGTGGCTTCAGATTACATTATTTGATATACGGTTCGCTCGAGACTCGGTTTTTGAACGCATTTGCAAGGCTGCTCAGTTGGCTGCCATGGTAGGCTTCGCGTCTGCGGGAACACGATTCACGACTCATATCCGCGGTGAGAACGTCTGGGCCTTTCAGTCGTTGAGTCTTCTGCTTGGTGGAAGTCGAGTACTACTTGCCGTGCAGTACACAGTCAACATATGCTTGATCCATGAACGGATGAGACCCGCTGCAAAGGGGTTGTCTATCATTGTGGCAGCACTACTCGCTTCGAGCTTGGTCTATTTCGGGGTAAGCATTACCTTTGATGAGGAACATATTATGATAACCACGTCCTTAGTCTGACTTGGGGGACAGATGTATCTTGCCTTTCAAGAAGATCATGGAATCCACTCGTACATTTGGACCGTTTGGTTTATCTTGTTCGGGTTTGAAATGTGGATGGTGATGGGGGTATCTTACATCACTCCAGATATCGGTTTTGAAGACACTCATTTGGTCGTCAGAATGGGTCTCCTTACATTAATCATCATTGGTGAAGGTGTCATAGCAGTGACTAGGATTGCCAATAAAACAGTACGCCCCGGTGGCTGGACCAAGTGGTCATTTGTCCACATATTGGGCGTGACCACAAGTGTGGTAAGGGACATTACCCTTCAGATTCGGCTTTCGTCTACTGACCTTCCGCTGTGTTTTAGTACTTCCTGTGGCAAGCCTATTTCGATGTCTCCCCAAGAGGCCCACTTGGCAGGCTTTCTCAACAAGCATGGGCTCAGCTGCATTTTCCATTTCACGTGGCCCTTATTCTACTCCTTGAAGGATCGCAAATCCTTGCTCTCACCTTGGATGTCACATTGAAATTGACGTATTTGGCGGAGACAATCTTGTTCACATGCGAAGAGCCGCGGCCTGAGGCGGAGGTTGCCATCAGGCTGCTACGAAGTACCATTGCTGATATGGAAATTGACTATAGTCGGGGAGCGATGAAGGAGAAAACTATTATCTCGGACATATTGGAAGAGCTGCCGACCCTTCCCCTGTGCCCAATGAATGTGACAAGCAATGTCTACTTTCTGACCCATGACCGCATCGATGATTTGGTGGGAAATGTAACAGCAGCTTTATTCTCCAGCATGGGAATTACGCCGTCAGAAGACCGAGACATCAGCCAATTGAACAATAATCAGTTGCTCATGATGTATGTGGAGGTCCTGGGGTTTGTCTATGTGTACTTTTTCGTTGTGGCGTCAATCGCGATGTTTCTTTTTGCGGCTTTTATGCTGTTGGCACATCGCCACCAGCGCAAGCTCTATGTCGGGATTGGCGCTGCTGTTCGCCTGACCCTTGCGGTATTAGTGCTAGGCGTGGTTTCCTTCGTCCGACATTTTGCGTTGGCGTACGCCTTCATGACGTCTCCAGTCATATTATACGCATTTACGGTCATACTGCTAACAGGTGAGTCCTCCTGACCATTTCTGCAACATAAAGCTCTGATCTCTTGTTTTGCCATGCAGTTTTGTTGGTTGACCGACTTTTGGACCACTTTGAGGAACGCAGCCAGGCAAAAGACCGGTCCACGCGGGAAAGCGATGCCCAACTCCTGTCGTCGGGCCCAAGAGTGGTCGTTGTGGAATCATCATCATGCCGGGTTGCCATCAGCCAAGAGCGTTTGACATGAAATGGCGCGGTTGGGGACCGGAACAGGCAAAGCAGTACCCTATCGTGGACAGGAAGTTCCGACCCGTGCCTGTGACAAGTACCCGTACGGTTCGCCTCTAGACTCAGGCAGATCATGGTTGGTCTGCTCCTTTTCGGCGTCCTCAAGGGGTTTTAACAGGCTTGAGGAACAGATAAGCTGAGGTCTGAGCTCAGGACGTGTCTGTATCAACCTGAGTCGGAGGGTATCGGAAGGATTCATATCGAATGGATTTGAGACCAGGCTACGGGAATAAACTCAAATCAATGCAATCATGCTAATCAAATGGGTCAACCCGAATGTGCTGATCAGCAGAATATTGAATGTCTGATTTGCAATTGTTCGGATCCGAAAGTCTTTCGCAGGAGATTCCAACGGCTGCCTTCTATCCGGACGAAGCAAAAACAACGGCGATGACAAACCGGATGGACGGCGGCGGGAACGCACATCAAAGACGGGTTGTACCAAAGTCAAAATCCGGCATTGTACTTGTTTATCCACGGAGGAGATTGATGATTTTCAGACCTTGGTTGATGGAGAAAGCTCTTCAAGGAACCCAATGGTTCACTATTACCGTGTGGCCTTATAGTCCATACCCAGCCTCAGTGAGAGCCTCAGGTTCGGCTTCGTATAACGTGATCGCTAACGGTACCACTCCTTGGGACCGGGGAACGAGTTCATAAGATCATCATTAAGACCGTACACTGTGTGGGTTCAGGATGCTGCGTTAATGCGATAATCATCTATATCCTAGTAGCGGGGATGGCAGAGACTAGGTCTGGCTCCAATAATGGAATAATTCCCTTCCAGGTCAAACGTGATTGCCAGGATGGATGTATCGATTTGAGTATGGTCGGGTTGGAAGCAAGGCTAAGCAGTTGTTCATTTCACTAGGCGGGTTGTTTGCGGCAGGGATAAATAATTATAGAGAATTGACTTAGGTCAGAATATGAAACTTCGATCCTTTGCAAATCATTACTGTCGAATTAGAATTAAGCATGCGGGATCAACCCTAAAATTGCGTCCTTTAGCTTTGTCTAACCTAAAGTAAAAACCAGAGCCCACATTGTCTTCATTGGTCAAGATACGTCTGTCACTGTGATGGTGAAGGGTCCTACATCTGCATATGCGGTCGCAGTCGTCGTTGAACAGCCACAATCCATCCACACTTTCATGTATCTATGGATTTGCACTCACTACGGCTCTGGTGACGCCATGGGGACGTTCCAGAGGAAGGAGAGAAAAAAGTAGTACAAAATGTACTTTGTATCAGATGCGCATCCTCCAATCAACTCCGATCAATGGTCAGGTAGGATCTCTAAAAGCTTGAAAATCCTCCGACCCTTATTTTGTATTTCTCCTCGATACATTTTCCCTAAGCCCGTTTGCAAGGAAAAGAACAAAAAGAAAAGAAAACAGAAAAGAAAATGGTTCAACTGCGGCCGTCCTACAGTCGCCCAAGAAAGTAGATCTCCGCGGAACTGCGACAAAAAAGGGCCCTGCATGTGGCTATCCGGGCCAGCATATCGACGCTGTACGCCAGTCAGGTTGGATCTGCCAGTACGTCCGTCTTCTGCTCGATTCTCATTCGTGCATTGTACTGCCTTTTTCTCAGGGTACTTTCTTAATTTCTCTGGGGTCTTCGCACCGGACGTCTGGTACTTCGTTCGGGTGGTCTGCAAAGGTTCCTTCATACTGTTTGGAGTACTGTATTGGGAGACCTGCGGGGAAGGCCTTGAGACTGGTCAATTGATCATCCGGGATGGGAGTATCAAGTAGAGGGCAGTAGATGCAGGTTGTAGAGGTCCTGTATGGGAGGAGATATCTCTCCTGGTATCATCCATGTTTATTGAGACGAGAGTCGATAGTTCTTCAGCCCATTGTCTAGTTTGGATGGAAGAGGTAAATGGGCAATGAATATTCGCCTTGGCCATTGCTCGTGTGATGATTCGAAGTTCCATCATGGAAGACGTTGATGCTTCCAGGGGATACAAGGTCTGAGACCTTATTAAAGGCCGGTCTTACTTGGTTGTTCGATGTCAAGATCAACTCATAGGACTGTCTGTCTTTGGTTGTCAGCCAGCCTGAAACTGTCTCCTTGTTGTCCTGTCCTTTATTCTTTCCGATTCTCTTGTTTAGAGCTCGAACAATCCGTTCCCTTTTGACTCAGATGAGCCTTTACATCACACACAGCGTGTTGAAACAGTCCCACTCTAAGCTTGGAGACCCCGACATTTTCGAATCGTAACACCTTTTGTGGAAGAGAAGGAAACCAGAGACATCATACTACCGTCTGTCCGGACTTGTGCTTCTCTCCGATAAACAATCGACTCTGTTCCTGTTGCTATCAAATGTCGCAGTGAGCTAGTCATCATCACATCGGCATATTCACCTTCAGTATCATCCGCTGCATTCTTTCTTTATCTCGCCTTCCTTCTCCTTCCTTTTTCGGTGCTCAGAGCAGAGCGCCACCAACAGCTAAGACATAGCACTTTAAAAAAGGCGGAGGCACATACAGCGCGTGTGGCGGCCAGTCAGAGATCGTCGGTATGTCAATCATGCCCCATGGCAGGTGAAACCTCTCCATATGGATCTTGACATGCTCAGTGTGCACATGTGTCCTGCAGGTGTCCCGTCAACCCCAGCAACGTGCATAGTCCGCCATTGAAACCTCTCATGCACGCGCTACAACCGCCATCTATACCGGCCATAGAGGACAGGAGCGGTGAAGTGGGCCACAGAAATGATAATATGGCCTCTCTTAAAGCGATGCTGCGCGTGCTCGTCGGTCCGGATCACTCCAAAACATGTTTGATCTTCGAGAAGAACCCCGATTCTACTGATCCCGGTCCTGCCAGTTACCTCTTTGAGAATCGTGGCCATCTCCTCCGGGCAAAGCCTTGCGATCAGCAGTCTGAGCTGTGCTCTCGAAATAGCATCAACTGTGATCAGTCCTGGACAGACCACTGCACTGGGTTCACTGAAGGACAGTCCGAGGCTATAGTTAACAGCTCAAACAGACCGCCAATGGCTGGCGAACAAACGATGAAACCAGACGTTTGCTCCTGGTCAGACGTCCTGACTTCTTTTGAACCCGAGGACCATGGACTCTCTCCTGACTACTATACTTGTCTCTCCAATATCCAAACTCTGCATCGACCTAGACAGTCAGAGGGAGGGTTCACTGGTCCTGAAAATCGTGAACATGACGGACTCAAGATCGGAGTTCCCGTACAAGAAAGTGCTTTCTGTGATGAAGAGGCCAAGTCCGACAACTATCCTTGCGGCCTAGTGCACCCCATTCCTAGGCCGAGTCTGTACATGGCGGCGAACCCCTTTGGTTCGTCCTCAGAGACCAACGCGACACCAGACACAACATCACCTTGTGCCTCGCAAGAGAGTCTATCGGACCCGTTTAGATACGGTTTCCGCAAGGTGCACCGTCCGTATAGTCACATTGGGGGCGCTATGATATTCCAGAACGATGTCTCTCCGGGTAGCTCTGTGGCCACAACCGACGATCTCTACACTGCTATCTCCGGCACATGCAGTGCTACCATGCCCCTCCACTGGTCCAGCAGCGGACAGATGGTGCCATGGGAGATGCAGAGTCAGGATCTTGAGCTCCGGAACAGCTGCTTTTCTCAACTGCGCCATCACGGTAGTCAGCTTGAAGAGATTCCTCGCAACGCCACAGTGGACGCCTGCCACGGTCTCCCTTCTGTAAACTGCGGTCATCACTACCCTCAGCAACCACCGTTTGTGCTGAACCCATCCACCCCTCATGAATACAACTCAACAAGCGTCAAGCACCGGAGTGAAGTTGACGGGGGACATTGCCAGTTGGCAGTTGCCAACGACGAGCTCACGTACCCTCAGCACCGGTACGAAATCATCCAATCTGTGCATGGGACAATCACCAGCAACGGAGCCATGAACCGTCAAGGACGAACAAGGACCAGGTCAATTTCATGCCACAACGATACCAGGAATGCATTCTTGATTGAGTGCAAACGCCGCGGGTTGTCATACAAGGATATCAAGAGGCTCGGAGGGTTCGAAGAAGCCGAATCAACCCTCCGTGGCAGATTTCGGACCCTCACAAAGTCCAAAGAGCAGAGGGTGAGGAAGCCCCAGTGGAAAGACAAAGATGTAAGTGACCGGATTCCAAGTGCCTCTTTCGTTCTCAGCTAATGCGCAATGCAGATCAAATTGCTATGCGAAGCAGTCAACGCCTGTTCGCGGTCTGGAAAGCAAACTTCTAATGCATTTGCGCCGTCTTGTCGACCGAGAGGTGTAGGCTTGCCACCCAGAGTGTCTTGGAAGAAGGTCGCTCAGTATATATGGACTCATGGAGGCTCATATCAATTCGGGAATGCAACCTGCAAGAAGAAGTGGTGCGAAGTGCACAATGTAAAGACATGATCTAGTTTGCGCTTGGACAAAATGTCTTGGCCTATCTCAGCGTTACTGTCGCACTGCTCCGACTTGAATCTCCTTTGTTTTAGCGACGAACTGTTTGGCGTACTTAGTCGCTTATCTTGGGTGTTCCCACAAAAATGGAGAGATTTCTGAATGCAGTGTCATATGTACTGTATCATCAACTCACATACAATGCAAAAGACATGAGCGTCTTTGATGCGACAATGCTATATACATCCTCTCTATGAGCATTCTTGACGAGACCACGCCAATGATCGTCATAACAGAGCGAGGCCACGAGAGTCTGGCTGGGGATAGCCGACAGTCGCGAGTATGTCTGCCAACGTATCTGGATTGCGCCGAAGCTCATTCCACTCAGCTTCAGCTTTGACCATAAGTGTTCCAGCCAGGATTGTGCCGTTCAGGGCTACAACGCCAGGTTCGTGGACATCTGGCAAAGCGCTCGGGTCGACCGGTATACGAGCAGTTTCACATCTTCTAGGACAAATCATCATCATCGACTCGGTCATGGCTAAGTTGTAGCTGATTGCCGCAGGGCCATCTATCGCTCGCGCATGGTCCCCCAGGCTTCCCTTCGCAGTCGAGAGCGCTACTCGGTACAAAGATAAATAGATCGTATGCAACGTTTCTGCGGTTGGGTTCTGAGGCAAGGGTAGTGCAAAATGGGCGAAGGGAATTTGACTCAAACGTCGGTACTCCGAGTCGGGACCTACAGACTGGGATGAAACCGTGTCAATGAGAGGCCGCCAACTTCCCGAATCACCCTGCGACATGGCCTCCACTGGCAAGAATTGCAAATGCCTATGGGGCTGACTCGCGCCACTCTCGTCTCCTGAATTGAAGAATGCAAATAGTCTCTTTGACCCCGAGTCTTCCTGTTCCGTCTGGTTATCCTTCCAAGCTTTGATGCAGGCATAAGCAGCGTCCAGATCCTCCTTCTCGAGAATATCAGTTTGCGGCTTCCATGCCTTGGTCGCGAGGATGAAGTGGTTCGGTATGACTGGGAATTTGTTCAAGACAAGTGTATGTGTTGGATTTTCTTGAGGAATCTGAGCGATCAAAAGGTCTGTGGAGGGATTCTCGAAAGGATCGGGCTTTGGACCTGATCGGTCCTTGTCAGATTTAGGAGTGCCTGAAGGTTTCTTTGCGAGAGCTGGACAGTAACGAAGTTGATACTTGGATACGTCGGGGTTAGCATTGAAAGCCAAAGATAACTATATCGTCTTAGTAGAGAATTGAAAGAGCGCATCCTACCGAGATTCCTCCAGAATTGACTATGGAGAGATGAGTATGTGAGAATATTAGGTGGCCACTTTCCTTGGCTGCAATGAAACGCTTGGCTACTAGAGCAGGGAGACTCTCCCTTAAACCCAATTGCATGTTCTTGACGCTATGCGTGGATCTCTTTGCGATTGACCCGGTTCCTGAAAGGACTGAAGAAAAGCAGGAGAAGGAGATGATTGTTGGCTCTGTGGTTTCGGAGAATGCGGAGCAAAGCCTGGCCTGGCATCTGCGGGAAGACCCAACAACATGAACCACCACAATGACATCAGGGCAGATCCACCCATCACTCATTCATCCTTGACAACCAACAACAGCACCTTAACACGACCATTCATGTTTGAGGCTCATAAGGCTCCAGCTGTACGCTCAGTTATGCCCCAAAGATTATCGCATTTGATATTCTTGCTACCTTCTATCTGCAGCCGCACTGAGTCGAAGGGTAGGTAGGTAGTCATTGAATTATCTTTACCATTTTTCATGTGAAGAAATAATGCAGAAAGAACAAATCGGATTCATCTCTGTCTAGCAGAGCAGATATTATTTAGAGCTTTTATCTGATGTGAGGAAATCACCTGTATCAGAATCTCCCTTCCGTTTCCATGACACCTTGGCTTTGCCAAAAAGAATACACAAGCAGAAACATGTGGCATAGTAAGTCAAGCATCAAAGCTGGTAAAATAGTAAGTGGTATCATATCCTGGTATATAGCACACAAATTCCGCTATTCATGATGCAGCATATGCAAAACAGAGAGGTATCCAACAAAAAGCTAGGAGTGAAGAGGGAAGACGAGGCATAGTTGAGAGGTGGTCACATTCATGACATCAATTCATCGATATCCACATCGTCGTGAGGATGAGAAAATGTAGGCAAGATCCTCGCCGGCTGTCCGATGAGATGCGTTGCCGGTCCCTCTAACCAGGGACCTCTTTCATCCTCGTTGGCGCTCAACACGCCTTCGGCACGTTTCAGAGTTTCGACATCCAAGTCAGTTATATATGCCTCCCGGTTTGTACCGTCACTAGCTCCTCCGGGAAGCTTCAGCCGTACTTCGAACTCATTGTCGAGCATCATTTCATCTTTCCACAGACGGCGCTGGCCGTCGAAGACACACAAGACGCGCTTCTTCGTCTTCATGCTGCTGCTGGGGCAGCCCCAGGAAGGAGGGTAGCGATCGCGGTTATTGCGCCTTTTCGAAATGGTTGCACGGGTCTTGCTATTTTTGGTAACAGCGTTGCTGCTACCCAAGATGGGACGAGATCCTACACTCGCATTCCCTTTGTTTGATTTGAATGCACCTTTGCTTGATCGGAGCTGAAGATTGAGTTCGTTATAATCGTTATCATCCTCCTCAGGTTCATCGTCGAGGCGGTCGACGTCGCCGGCCGCATCAAGAAGCTTGTGCTTTTCCATGGTCTTCTTGACCTCCTCATCGCAGTCCACTTCCGCCAGCCGTTGCTGGTTAATAACCTCACTAGGCTCTACTTGTTGCACAACCCGGAGTACACAATCGTCGAGATGCTCGTAAAAGTCCTGTGCGTTGGTGAAGGTGGCAGAGCAAGTTGAGCATTTGCCAGTGGCGTCCTGGCAATAATCCGAAACCTTCTTGCCAGAAGATGCAGCGGGGCTCCTCTTGCGACAGTTGGGTGGTGTTTGCTCAACGCCATGCACCGAGGTCAAGTGACGCTTGAAAACATCGGCTCTGTTGAAGCTTTTCTCCGCAGGTGACCCAGAACCTGGACAGAATCCACACACCATGGTTCCCTTGTAATGGGTGAGCGTGTGCCGGTTCTTGTCGTATTTACGAGCGAATCCCTTGACGTGGTATTCGCATGTAACGATAGGGCACTTCTCTGGTCGTTCTGATTGATGCGTGAGCATATGAGCCTTCAGATCCTTGAAGACTCTTCCGCAATCGGGATGAGGACAGCGTCCCTTCTCCTTGCTCTCGTCATCAAATTCTGCTACGCTCGCAGCTGGACTCAGCTGAGAGCGACGGGAATGGGTGGATGAAATGGACGACCTCCGGTCATAGATCGAAACGGGGCGTGAGTGGGGGGCAGAGTTCAAAAGAGGAGAAGACACTGCCAGTCCTGTCTGTGAAAAGTGGTCTGCAGCGTAGCTCTCGGCAACGGGGAGGTGGGATGGGTCAGGAGACTGGGGAAAATATCCACAGTTGGCTGAGTAGCCTGAGGGCTCGGGAAATGAGATAGTAGGAGTTGAATAGCTTGGATATTGGTGTACTGGCTGTATCAAGGAAGGATCTGTTGACGGCCAGTCAGCATTTTGAAAGAATTGGCAATTTGACGGTCGAAAAGCAGAGAAACATAGAATCCGCTTTAAGAACAAAACGGGATGCAAACTCAATGAACTCACCAACAAAGTCGCCTGGGCCTTTCCTCTGATAGATATTCTCCGCTTCTAGCGAGCTTGCCATAAATTCACTGGGAAAGAATTCATCCATGACGGCTGCAGGAAGCCCGATACCATGATTAGTGTCGACCCAGCTCTCCGGGAAGGTCTGTGCTATACCGGAGTATGGCGAGCCGATCGCCGATGATGATGCGCTTGCAATGGAGGGTCCAGATGCAGTGGAGAGGCCCGACATATAAGGCTCTGTGGAATAGGGTATTGGAAGGGATGGAGGAGTGGGAGGCATGGGAGGGAAACCGGCAGTTTTGGCCTCAAGCTGTGAATCAGCATAAACAGGCGATGCGTCGTAGTAAGATGTTGGGGCGCTGGCTGAACCAGAAGGCTGCCCAAACCCGCCGAAGTTATCCATTTGAAACCCGAACGGATCGACCAATGCTGGGTCCATAGGAACGTCGTGAAAGTATGTTGTTTGTTGTTGACGTGATGAGTCCAATGCCAACATGATGGCTTCCTTGTGCCCTAAGGTAGGGTATAAAACAAAGTCGGGAATGTGCTCTTGGGCTCTGCATGCACACGTCCTAAAGTCGATAGTCGACTGTGCTAGTCCCCACAATTCGGTGAAAGACGAGGCCTGCGTTTCAGTAAGGAGATCGAGGCGCGCAATCTGGACGAAGTTGGTTGTCAGTCACCAGCTTCTTTCATTGTGTTGTTGCAAGAATTGGTAGATCGCTAACGGAAAAGCGACACTGATGGGGAATCCGAGCATACCTCAAGAGAAGAGACACCTCAAATAAGAAAAAAGGCCGCTCAAAAGTGAACGTGAACCTCGGTCAACGAGCTGGTAGTCGTCTGCGCGATGTAAGGGGAAGTTCACAGGGCGATCTTTCGATCTATGCGAAAAGTATTTCAAGGTATTTGAGCGAATCGTTGAGGGTCTGGGAACTATGCAGAAGAAAGCAAGTTGCGCGACATGCAGGAGAAACCGAGGCAGAGTTCGATTCTGAATTACTTTGGACGAAAAGAGTATATATAAGACAAGAACAGCAGTCACACCGAAGGCAACTGAATGCAAATCAGTAAACCACGGCCAAGTCCGAAAGGAATATGAAGTATGTTGCAGAACCAGGTGAAGTCAAGGAAAGGAGGAGGACAAGGTGCTGTCTTGTATGAGCGCTTCCTTTGTCACTTCTCTTCGGGGTTTAATAAGGACCCATCTACTATTCCTCGACGTAGGATGAGTCTTATGTAGAATGAAGAAACGACGGAGGAGAGGGAGGGAGAGCATTTGTTAAATGTTATATGATTGCTGACCCTATGAGAGAGTGTGTACCTCATTCTGGGCTTGCAGTGGACTTAATTAAATTACTAGAGTGGATTCTCACTAGGTAGATTAAGTGCACTAAACTACTACGAACTAAGAATAAGAAACTAACAGCACTAAGTCAAGCCCATCCAGACTACTGGAGGTGGAATGCGCAGCAGGGGACAGGGTATTGTCTAGTGTGCATTGAGACTGACTGGGGTGGGCGCATGTGGATTCTGGGTGGTTGATGACGATGGTACCGCCCTTAGCGTATTAAATGTACTTCTACGAACGAAGTGTCGGGGAAACTAATAATAAATAAATAAATATTCAAATACATAAAAGTACTTGTTCTAGCTATTTCGATATTCGCAATATTGTCCGGACAGAGATAGCGAGGGAAACGGGGGAAGTGGATATCACGGTCAAGCAGGAACTTTGTACCATTTTTGAATTTTAGATTTTTGGTTTTTAGATTTACGAGTTTATTTTTAATCCAGAAATATCTTTAGCGGTATTGGAGTTTACAGTATACCACTAAATCTGCATGCCCCATTTGCACTGCCTTAGGCACTTCCCCATTTTAGTGATTGTCATGACTACCTGGTACTGCAGTGTTTGGGTAGCCGTGTTTCCATGTGTTGTATTGAATACTATCTAATGGTTCCTGCATTATTTTATTTCCAGCTTTGTAGGCCTATAGGCGATGATTTCTTCCGCTGTATTTAAGATGTCAGGCCTGTTGATATGGTTCCTCGTTACAGCTCAAATCACCATGGTAGGTGCTCGCTTCCGCGGATTATCTTAAGACTTGCTTGAATTGAACAGAGCACGTAAGTATACTCTGTATGTTTGATAAATGATTATCAATAATTATCTCGTAGCTATTACCTCAAAGGCATAATGATACAAATTCCCTGGTCATTCTTGTGCATCGGGAACCCCGTGTCCATCCACACTAGGGATGCATGCTTGACATTTGTGGATACAGATGTCATCGGCAAGTCCGTGTACAGTTGACTTGGCACCGTCAGACCAGACCAGGGACTGTACGTCGTAAGAATGCAGACTACAGAGTCCAGTAGTCAAGCAATTTCTCTGACTCTTGGGGAAACTCTGTTTATCATGTTCCCGTTAATTTTTATTATCACTCCTTATCTTTCGGTATGATCGCAATTCTGAGATAAGATGGTGGCAAAATTCTCTCCCATGTACTTGCAAAACGAGGGGTATCACGAAGACCTACGGAGACGGAGACGGACTATGGGGTAAATCGTAGCAAGGATTAGTGATTTGAAATAATAAAGTAGCCCTGCTGTTCCACAGTACCTTATACATAGATACTCACAATCCAATCTACGGATATATGAGATTATGGAATCAAATAATATTGATAATTGCTGACTGTGGGCATGATTAA